AGCATATTATGTCCTTACTCAGAAACACTTAAATGATTCAATTGTGCAGAGGAAAAAGCTTAAAAAATTACTGACTGTAGCGTTCATGGTCTACCACTAGAAAATTGCTTTTCCAAAAATATTTACCACTGATTATCAGCATGAGCTGCAGAGTGTATATACTTCTGCACAATAACCACCCTTGCATTTCTCGTTTCACCTCTGTCACTTTATTCTATCTCTAGTGCTCTCTCTGAATCTCTCTCTTTCATCTCTCTCTCTCTCTCTCTCTCTCTATATATATATATATATTTCTACACTTCATATTTTAGTGGATGCTTATCTCAGACTCTGATCATCTTTTATTTCTCTATATGCAGTTCCTTCAAGCTATTTCCTATGCATACTTTTCTTCTGCTGCTTTACTGTCTCTTTAAGCAATTTATTTTCTATTTTCATATCTTTAAATGTCACCTACATAGTGATGTATCATAAATATATATTTCCAACCATGACATCTCTATTGATTCCAGACTTACGTACATGGCTGCCTACTTCATATCTTTCCTTGGAATTCTGACAGGTCTCTCATCAAAGTTAGAAGATACACCACTGCATCCTTGCCTTTCCTCCCCCAAATTGCTCCTTCATAATTATTTCCCATCTCTGAAAGGAAATCACAATTCATACATTTGCTAAAATCCAAAACCTACATGTCAGGTATCTTTACCCTCCAGTGCTCTCACTGAGCTCCATTTGTTTTATCTACAAATATATATTTCAAACCTGTCCACCTTCTATCTCTCTTGTCAATTTTGTTGTCTAAACAACTGCCATTATTTGTCCAGAATACTAACATAGATTTATTTCTAGGAGATTTATGTAGCTATAATTAAATAGCATAAAATACACCAATTTTGTTCATATAGTTCATTGATTTTTAGTAAATGTAAAAGTGTCATCACAATCCAGTTTAGCCATCTCTATCACCTAATAAATTTCCCTTGAGTGTATTTGAAATCAGTTTTTACTCTAATCCAGCCCTAAGCCACCGCAGATCTGCTTTCAATGGCTATAAAATTGTCCTTTTAGGAAATTAAACAGAAGTGGCCATGTAAGGAAACAGTAGGTGGCATAATGGTTACACTACTGGATTCTCACATGGTTGGCAGTGGTTCGTGTCCCAGACTCGGAAGTTTGAAACTCATGCTGGGTGTGGGTGCATGCATCGGTATTTGGTTATTCCTCCTGAGTGGTGATTTTCTGCTTTGTGTCTTTCTGTCTCCGGCAAGCACACACGCCACCCCCCCTCCCCCCCCAAAAAAAAAGGGAAGAAAGGGAAAAGAGAAAGATTAAAGAAAATGGCCATGTGAAGGTGAAGGCAGAGAGTGGCCTGGACAGAACTTTCCTTCATAGCTCTCAGAAAGAACAACCCTGATGGTACCTTGATTTCAGACTCGCAGCTTCCAAGACTTAGATCATTTTCTCTCAGTAAAGCCACTCGTTATGTGGTATTATACCACCATACAATTTTGATTTTGGTTATAGACACTGGAATCAGTTTGTAGAAGTAGCTCATTGGGGTATCGAAAGAATATATGGTATGTGAAGAGATGGATAGAAAAAATGTGAGTGACTAATGAAGTCCTTGCCTACAATCCACATTCTTGCAGACTTTTCAGAAATGTGCACCAATAATTTGCTGATATTATTTAAAGCGATTTGAATTGGTCTTTGTGACAAATCCAATGGAAAACTTCTTAAATGATATTGCCATGAATCCTAAAGCTGACACTGCTAATTATCCTTTGAGACTTATGAAAACCGGGTGCTAAATCATTTATATGCTTGTTTTTGGTATAAAATCTAAGAGTAGATTTTGAGATACTTAAGCTTCGGAATTTAAAACTTATATGTATTTTTAAATTTGGCTTTTGCATTTAAAAACTTTGTTTTTCAAGACCTTTATCTTTAGGTTTTCAGAGTTTCAATTATTTGGAAATTGAACATTAAATCCCACTTAAATCTTCAGTTAAGTCCCATGTATTCAAATAAAGTGTTGAAATTTTGGGGAAAATATAATTTCTTATATTCTGTAATTTTACCTAAGATTCTGAGCCTACATTTAAATGTGAAAGGGCTTCTGAGTAAGAAGGAATCACAAGGGGGACCAGCAGTTGGCATAATAGCTATGTTGCTGGACACCCATGTAGTTGACTACAGTTTGAGTCCCAGTCCCAGACCCAGTGACTGGGCGCGTGTGCGTGTATCCCAAGATCCTGAGAAGAGAGTGGAGAAGGAATTGCGGCGTGGCCATCCCCCTGGGGAGTGATTTCTCACTTTCTGTCTCTCTGTCATTCTGGCACGTGCCCTATAGCAAAAACCTCTCAAAAAAGAAGGAATCACAAGGAATAAAGCCACATATAGATAGATTAATAGATCAAAATATCATGCTCCAAATAAAATAAAAGATATGTGTATAAATAAATGATGAACTGGTACAAACATCACTCTTCACTTTCCAAAAAGAGAAATTTTAGGATCTATGTGGCATGGTTATAAATAAATTACACATATAGTCTCACAATTTTGAAAATCATTTCCTCAGGATTCATGACCCAAATTCATCTTCTTGCCTTCTGATGTAAAACGTATATTTGATCCTCTACATTTTCTATATGAACCCCTGACTTCTTTTATAGCTGTTAAGATCCACAACAATCTGCACAAATTCATTTTAACCTGATTGTTTGTCCTATGTATCTAGTTAACCACAATCCTGAACTTCTGTATGTTATCAATAGAATAAAATATAAAGTCTACATTAACTCAGGATATCTATTTATAAAGTAAACAAAAATCTCAAAACATGGTTAAGACAAAAATAGTTAAAATGTGTGTGTGTGTGTGTGTGTTTGTGTGTAGATGAGAATGGGCCATGACTACAATACAATAATATTTAAAATTTCAATACAAAGCTATGTATTCATTAATTAATTACAGATATTTTTTGATTTATAGATTCAATGATTTTATTGTGACTCTTCTTCATTATCAATCATTTCCATGAGCATTAGCCATTTTTCATCATTTCCTATTTTCCTTCAGGCTGGCATTCCCCATTTATGACAAAAGCCTCAAGAAACGAAGACTGAGTAAGAGCAAATGATTGTTAGTTTTCTATTGCTGCTGTAACAAATTACCACAAGCTGAATGACTTAGAACAATACAAATTTATTATCTTCCATTCTGGAAGTCAAATGTCCAAACTTAACTAATATCTAGAGGTCACCAGGGTTCGTTCCTTCCGGAGACTCAAAAGAGTGATGTACTTCCTTTTCTTTTTCAGCTTCCAGAGGCCACCTGCATTCCTTGATTCCTGTCCTCTTTCTCCAGCTTCAATTTAGAGACTGAAGCAGAGGGCGGGAAGATAGTGTAGCAGTTTCTTCGCTGGACTTCCACATGTTGGATTGCAGTTTGAGTCCCATACCCAGTGACTTGAAAATCAGGCTGGGTGCAGGTGGGTGTGTGCCCAAGATCCTAGGCGGAGATAGAGAAGTGATTGTGGTATGGTCATTACCCCCTGTGAGGTGATTTCTTGCTTTCCTTCTCACTGTCTCTGTCTCTCTCTCTCTGGTGAGTGCACATACCCTAAGGCAAAAATCTCTAAAAACAAAGAGTGAAGCATTAGTACCTCCTCTTTGTTGATTGTCCTTACACTGCCTACTCTGACCCTGACCCTGACCCTTTCTTCTTTCTCTTAGGATGGCTCTGTGACCATATGGGGCCACTTGTCCTGAATAAACCAGGACAATCTCATCTCCACATCCTTAATTTGTTTACTTCTGCAATGTCCCTTTTGCCATATAAGGTAAAACACGTAGGGGCAGAGATTATACCTAGACATCTTTGGGGGAGGGCATTCTTCACTGTGTCACAAATACTAGGTGAATTTACATTTTTTTTTTTTTGAGAGATTTTTGCTAAAGGGCGCATATGCTCGTGGGAATGACAGAGAGAGACAGAAAGCGAGAAATCACCCCTCAGGGAGATGGCCACACCACAATCCCGTCTCCTCCATTCTCTCAGGATCTTGGGCACGCACACACACACATGCCCGGTGTGAGTTTAAGCTACCGGGTCCGGGACTTGAACGGCGGTCAGCTACATGGGAGTCCAGCAATGTAGCCATTGCACTAACTGCTGGTCCCTCATTTTCATTTTTAAGGAAAAATCATCCTCAATATTCAGTAGGCCCAAGTAATACTTATATTACTTTCTATTCAAATTAATTCTAGTATTAAGGGCTAAATCTGTGTCAACTTTTTTCTAAAAGGCTTTCTCAATTGTTCAGCCATAGTGATTTGCTACTCTTTTGAAACATTTAGCACTCATCACAGTTATTTGCTTCACTCTATGCATGCATTACCTTGAGGTGCTATTTGAATTTTTGTTTTGTTCTCAGTTTTCTAATAGATTGTGAATTGTTTAGAAGAGTTCATGTGTATTCTCTGACTCTTTTTAAAAAATCTATCACATAGTACATATTAGATGCCAAGTACTAACATGATAATTTTAAGTATAGGTGTTCTAATGAAAAAACAAAATTAGGGCCAACATGTGGCATGGTTGTTAAGGTAGCTGGATGACACATAATGGAATGTTGGTTTGAGGCCTGAATATGGTGCCCTGAGAAAAACTTGTGCATATGTGTGTGTGTGTGATCAAAATCCTAAGAGGAGAATAGAGAAGGAATTATAGCATGGCCATCCCCCCTGGGGTGATGGAGGGGTTCTCGGTTGCTTGCTTGCTTCTTTCTTTTTCTCTTTCCTTCTTTCTTTTTCTATTTATTTCTTCCTTTTCTTTCCTTCCTTCTTTCTTTTTCTTTTTCTTTTTCTTTTTCTCTTTCTTTCTTTCTCTTTCTTTCTTTCTTTCTTTCTTTCTTTCTTTCTTTCTTTCTTTCTTTCTTTCTTTCTTTCTTTCTTTCTTTTTTTGTTTCTTTTCTTCTTTCTCTTTCTCTTTCTTTTTTTCACTTCCCCTCCCTAGCACACAATCCCTATGGCAAAATAATAAAGAAAACAAAAGATAAAAACATAAAATCAAGCTCTAATCTACTTCACAAGGTAATTTCTTTTAAGTTAGAGCTTTATACTCTATTTTACCTCCATTAATATGTGCCATAGATTGCAAGCGTTAAAATGTGGAGAACACCAGGGACAGCAGGTGGCATGGTGGTTAAGGTGTTAGATTCTCACATGGTCGACAGCAAGTTGAGTCTCTAACCTGGCAGATTGAAAATCACTCTGAGCACATGTATGTATGTGCCCAAAATTTCAGGAGGAGAATGGAGAAGGGATTGTGGCATGGCCATCCCCCTGGGGGGTGGTCTGTCATATTCCTTCTCCCTTTCTCTCTCTCTCTTTTTCCTGTAAGCTCACACACTCTATTATTAAATAATAATAATAATAATAAACTTAAAAAAGGCAGAAAAGTGGAGAGCACCTTTTGTAACAGATGAAAACCTTGTAAATAGATATTCATAGAGTCCTAGGGTTTATTTCATATCTTGGGAGTATGAACCTTCTTTATGCAACATCTGTAATTATTATATCATAAATATTATTATTTTTTGAGAGGTTTATTGCTATAGGGCGCATGCGCTCGCCAGACAGACAGAGAGAGACATAGAGACAGAAAGCGAGAAATCACCCCCCAGGTGGAGGGTCAAGCTGCAATCCCTTCTCCTTCATTCTCCTCTCGGGATCTTGGGCACGTACGCACACGTGCCCGGCGTGAGTTTTAAGACACTTGGTCTGGGACGGAAACCGTGGTCAACTACGTGGGAGTCCAGCAACATAGCCATTACGCTAACTGCTGGTTCCCTCATAAATATTATTTTTAAGAAAATTATCTACAGTTTCTCTCTGCTTCATTTTATCTACTCTATATAAGTATTGCATTTAAAGTAAAAAATATCTAGACTACAAATTTCTCTTGTAAATAGTGTTAATCATAATGAAGTAGTAATATATTTATTGATTTCAAAGATATTTATCCATTTATAATTTCATGTAATTGTGATCAGCAAATATTGAAAATATCCTTGAGTCAGTAGTACACTTGTGTTATGAAAATGCTCCAACAATTTCTAACCATTCGCCTCTTTTTTTTTTTTCTTTAAGAAAAAAGAGGCACAGTCCTCTTACCTGACTGGGATTCCAGGTGCACATCAAAGCGTCCAGCCTTGGCTGGGGATTGAACTAAAGGCTTTCATGTAATCCTCACTGGCAGAACAAAAGCGTCTCAACAGTGGGCACCACTGTGTTTGCACCATCTAAATTTAAATGAATACAAATTTTAGAGAAAAACTTATTCCTCATGCCTATATCCAAGTGGATTTTCTCTACATGCTAGTTTTAGAACTGTCTTATGGCCAAAGGAATCCCATTATTATTTTAGTATTATTTTTAAATTTCTTTTCAAGATTTATTTCTCTAATTCACAAATAATGCAAGTTCTAGTTCCCAAATACTTAAATGTGGCTGAAAATTTCAAATTGAAGTTTCAATCATGCGTTAATGTGAAAACACCTCAATGTGAAAATAACTAGACATCATATGAAGCAGAGGCTGAAGAGGCCAATTTAATAGCACAGACCAATTATCTACTTATTTTACACATAAAATATACAAATAACTTGAACTCAGAGCTCTTAACGTGAGAGTTCAGTTCATTAACCCACTGCACTGACTACACAAATCTCCTGATACTGAAATACCCTAGGGAGAATCATCCCGTAATGCATATTACAGTGATTTGCTATCGAGTAAAGGGAAGATTTCCTCAATTTCAGCTGTGTAACCGCACTGTATTACCGCACATGGGGCACTTCTCAGCATCTTGCCATCTGAAATAAACATGAGGGCAACTCCCATAAAAATGATTTATTCCCTTTTTTAAAGAACATGCTTATCATAAACCAGCATACTATAGCATGTTGGAGAGGAAGTATGGGTTTCATTTCCAGCAAGAATGGAATAATCCACTCTGTCTATTATACTTATGGTAAACTTTGTAGAAAATATAGGAGATATTTTTATGGTTTTGTCAGGAGAGGAGATGAAAAGAAAAAAATAATCATCCATGGACCTCCAGCACTTCATACCATTGTGCTGAAAGTTGTCATTGTCAGGTTTCAGTCCCCAAGCTTGTCCTGCCTGTTCTGTTCATGAAAATAATGGAATATGTTAGAAAGGCAACTTTAGCTGTCCTATATTAACTTGTTCTGATGTTTTAATATTGGGATTCTTCTGAAATTTACTACTTAGGTTTTATGTTTCTGTTATTTGTGATAAAATAACTAAAAAAAAATTGGAAAATGAGTGTAAAAACTTTGAATACATTTTAAAGTGACTATTTTTGACTTTGTACCTCTTAATTTGGATGCCAACATCTATAAATGCATAGTAACATAATGGAGTCCTATAATGGAGTCCTTAAATGTTGATGAAATCTCATAATTTAAGGACATTTATAAATAAACTTGGGCAATTATTAAACTGCAGTATTGTTGCAATGGCTGGTATTGGTTTATTCTGTATGTTTACTGTGTTCTTCTATAGTCTCACTAGTTTCTTTTCTTTTTGGTTTATTCTGTATGTTTACTGTGTTCTTCTACAGTCTCACTAATTACTGTGTTCTATAGTCTCACTAGTTTCTTTTCCTCTCAGATACTGAAGAAATAAAGGGGAGCTTTATTTATTTTTCTGTTACATGCTCTATGTCTATTCCACTTATATGCAGAATGAACCTTAAATGCATATCACTGGCTTTTGAAATAAACATATCTCCTTGTCTGTTAAGAAAGTCAGTAACGCTCAGAGTAAGCAACTTATTGTAAATGGAATGTTAGGCATTCAAAATTAGTCATAAAAGCTAAAACTATCTCTTGAAAACCAATCTGTCAATTTAAATTTATTATTTTAATGCTATAATATGACCATATTATAGAAAGAAATGTTCTCAGAAGTACTGATGTCTGGCATTTAAGTTTCAAACATTCATTAGACTTAAGGTTTATATTTTATTTTACAGTCACTATGAACTTTTAGAAAAATATAATAGTTTCTTTTATTTCCTTTTAAAAAGTTTTCCATGATTTTTTAAAATGTGTACTTTCATTTGTTATTTCTGTCTAGTTTTGCTTTCATAATATGAATTAGAGAATTTTTTTAGAATAACACGATACTGTAAGTTTCATTGGATTGACTTAGATTCAGCATTATAATTGACTATACTTTATAGTCATTATAATTGACTTAACTTTCAGCATTATACATTTAGTAAGATAGTATGCTTCAAAATAAACAAATAAGGACCAATGCTCAGTGAGATTGGCCCACTGGGGAAGGTTCTGGATTAGCATTCAGAGAATTTCCTTCACATATTGGGACCCATACATGACAGGATCCAGAGCTGGTTAAAGCTGGGGGTGTATTGTGGAGTAAAGACCTTTGGGATCTTTTCTCTCTCTACCTTCTTAACTAGAAGAAATGAATAAATAAATTTTATGTAGACAAGTGAATGAACAAATATTTTAACCAATATAAAATTTATGTTAGAACAAAATGGAATGATGATGAGACCCCATAAAAATATTGACCCTCGAATAAAGAGAACAGTTGAATATTTTAGGAGACTGTTTTTGTAATCTCTTTCTCTTCTCAGTCATACAAAATTTAACAATAATTATTATAAAAAACACAAAAATGCAATCATGTGCATGGTATTGTAAGTATCAAGATTTCAGAAATATGGAAAGAATAATATTGAATAATAATGACTATAGAAATTTTAAATGACATTATTATATAATACTTATTTATGAAATTTACTGACAAAGTAAGGTCAAGGTATAAGTCTATGAGGTATATAAATATTCCTAAAAAAATTTTTTTGAGGAGATTTTTGCTATAGGACGTGTGCACTCGCCAGAAAGACAGAGAGACAGAAAGCGAGAAATCACCCCCCAGGAGGAGGGATAGCCACGCTGCAATCCCTTCTCCTCCATTCTCCTCTTGGGAGTTTGGACAAGCATGTGCATGTGCCCAGCATGAGTTTAAGTCACCAGGTCTGGGACTCGAACCACGGTCGATGATGTGGGAGTCCATCGACATAGCCATTACGATTTGGTAGTTGCAAGTAATATTAATATGATCCTATTTTTCCTATAATTTCAGTAGTCACAGGTATTTTCCTGGTTATGTGCTATTAAATTACTTATTAACCCTCCTAGTCCTCTAATGGCACACTGTTTACTAGAGAAAAATAAGAGCTTCTATCATAATGCAGTATTGAATGGACAATCATTCAATGCTAAACTTTTTGTTGGCAAGAAATCTTTCCACTAAATAAATCAAATCTTTCCATCACTATAATCAAAGCTTCCTACTAATAGTCTAATTCATATCTAATTAGTATTGTTTTCCTGTGTTGTACACATCATGATATTTCCTTCAGAGGAAAAATAATGTATTTGCTTTTTTATTTTTAAATAACTCAGTGTGTTCTATTTGCCATTTGTATCAGAAGTCATTGTTTATTTATTCAGTATATTCATTTATAGTGAGATGAGAAAAATTAGAAAAATATTTTTTAAAAATCAACAATCTAACTCAAACAAGGACAAGAATTAAAGTGCTGTATAATTATAAGTATTTGTGGACTGGTAAACAAAAGTTAACTAATGTTTACATAACTTGCTGAAGGCCAATGGTTAGATTATTAAAAATACACATTTGCATTTGAATTGTGATAGTTACAAAAGATGACAATTTTAGTTTTAAGAGCACTTTTTTGGGGGGAGAGATTTTTTTGCTATAGGGCGCGTGCACTCGCCAGCCAGACAGAGAGAGACAGAGAGACAGAAAGTCAGAAATCACCCCTGGGGGGATGACCATGCTGCAACACCTTCTCCTCCATTCTCCTCTCCGGATCTTAGGTACGCACGCACATACACCCGGCAAGAGTTTTAAGCCACTGAGGCCAGGACTTGAACCACAGTCAACTACATGGGAGTCCAGCGACATAGTCATTACACTAACTGCTGGTGCCAGGAGCACAGTTATTTTTTTATAGGTGTATTTATTTTCTGATTTATAACTTTAGAAAATTCTGTCAAGCTATTTCTACTGTATCTGCTTTTTACTCACTATTTTAATTTGTTTCTTACATGCTTTAATAAAATTATTTACTAATTATAATTTAGACCCCTTGGTCACATAAGGCATTTTGGAAGGATATAGAAATGAATAAACAAATAAAAACAAAAATATTCAAAACACAAGTGAAATATAAACACAAAATAAAATATATTCTACTGAGTTTTCCTACATTTAAATGTTTTTTGTTTGTTTGTTTAGTTTTTGCTATAGAGTGTGTGACCTTGCCAGAGAGAGTCAGAGAGAGAGAAAGAGAGAGAGACAGGAAGTGAGAAATCACAACCCCAGGAGATGTCCATGCCACAATCCCTTTTCCACTCATCTCAGGATTTGGGGCATGCATACACACATGTCCAGCATGTTTTTCATATCACCAGGTCCAGGACTTCAACCCCACTGTCAGCCATGTGGGGTCTAACTGCCTTAACCTCTGTGCCTACTGGGTCAATGCATATGCTATTTTTAAATTAAAACTTACCTAAAATCTAAACATTATAGCATTTAATTTAAATTATAATAATGTTTACTTAATACCATTTCCAACTCCTGACTTCCTAATAATTATGTAGCTATAAGGAACAGGTACACATTTTAGAGGATTAATAGATATTTTCATGGTTGCCATGGGAACATAACTTTAAATTTTTAAGCTTGAATATATAAATATTAAAACATTGCTATTTAGATGTTTGAATGTTTCTCTTTATGGGACACAGAAATAGGTTATTTTCTGTTGATGGTAACGTCTATAATATCCTCAACTGGACTTGTGAGAAGTGCTTTCTTGTTGGAACATTCACTTTACTAGCTAAGCGATGTATGTGATTGAACATATAAAATAAATAAAAAATTGATTAAATTTCATTAAAAAAACACAAAACATATTTAAGAAATGATAGAAATATCTGAAGATATTCTACAAAAGGGCACAAAATACTAACTAGTGTTATTTTAATATTCTTTTCTTGTAGACAACTAGTTCCCTAAAATCCACTTGGTAAAATTTCAGATTAGATTGTCATTTGTAATATAGCACAGGGGATTTTCTTTATGCGGCTTGTTTAGAGGAATTTTTCTCCCCCTTTCATAGCAACTAGTCATTCTATGTAACGTCACTTAAAAATCACACAGATTCAAATAACACAAATAAAAATTAGCCTCTACAAAATCAACTTGTCTTTAAAAAGCAGATGCTTAGAATAAAAGAAGCAATAATACTACCATGCTATGTATGTGGCCTTAATATATTATTAAAATTTAAACTATAATCATATATCTCTTAAGTAAAGCTGATTATAAATTAAAAAAAAATTACTATTTGGTCCACCAGGTAGTGTGATGGTAAAGGGGCTGGATTACCACATGGCTGACCATGGTTTGAGTCGTGGACCTGGAAGTCTTCTTTCTCACTTTCTCTCTCTCTCTCTCTCTCTGGACAAATTGAAAAAATAATAATAATTATTTAAAAGACATTACTATTTATTTACATTAAGATTGGATAAAAGAATATAGTTCTCTAACTACTTTAAACCATCTGATACATGTAAATGAGTTTTACATAATAAAAAATCAAATATAACACCAGTTAAAAACTTCATAGAAGTGGAATTGTTAGTATATCATAATCTTTAGATAAATAAAACTCTAAAGGAATTATATGTGTGTGCCTGTGTGTATATATCTATATCTACCATCTATCTATCTATCTATCGTGTATATATGTGTGTGTGTGTGTGTGTGTATAATCTTAAACATATACACACACACACAATCTTCTAACTGAATGTCAATGTTTGGTATTTTGGATTTTCTTCACAGGTAGATTTTTTAAATCGGAATCAGAGAACATATTTTATCATAGTTCTTTTAAAAATTTAAAGATTAAAAATATCTAACTATCAGTATGATTTCAAATAAACCTATAAAAAATCCGACCCTCAAAATTAATAAGTAATTTAAAGCACCATTGATCATTTTATTTTGCTTGTAAATGATTCACAATAGGAATATATTTATAAGAAAAAGATTAAAATGTTTGTGCATATTTATATTTTCAAATAAATTATTATTATTATGTAATATTTAATAAATTTAATTAATAATCAGAGGCTTTTCCAAAGTGTGCATTTAGTAATATTTTTTATTGAAATTTCTTAAATATTATAAAAATATTCATGAGGAAATATTTTCAGTATGAATTAGCACAGCTATTATTTTGAAATTTTAATCCCCTTAAAATGCTATTGTTTACAAATATATGCACATATACTTATTTTTAAAATGTTGTAAGATCTGCTCTGTAGTATAGCAGTTAGGTGTTACACCAGGATGCATATCTCATGGCTAACAAGGGTTCGTCTCCTGTCCTGGTTGGTTTGAAATGTGTGAAAGGGTAGGGTTTGAGGAAAAACAATCAGAAGAAAAATGGGGAGAAAAAACATTAATGGGACAAAGAAACATGCCAATTTCTGTTAAAGATATTTTGTAGTTTAGTCAACTGGAGTAGGGAGAGATGTTCACATGTTGAAATATTCACTTTGTAAATTAAATAATGTGATTGACTGTATAAAAGAAAATGAAGTTAAAAAACACATTTAGTACCTGTATACATGCCTGGGATTCTGAGGCGATGGAGAATTGAAGGAAAAAAAAAATTATGCATGATCAGCCCTTGTTGGGGGATTCTTTTGCTATGTTTTGCTTTCTTTTGTGTACACTCATATACACTCTAGAATAAAGAAAGAAAGAAAAAGAAAGAGAAAGAAAGAAAAGTTATAAATTATTGTTTTTTCTCTTTTCCACTTCTCCCTATTCTCCACAAAATTTTTGTACAAAATTTGATCTCTATGGTGATTTTAGAACTGTAGAATAATGTGACTAGGTGAATCTTAAGCTGCGTAACTTTTATATCATTTGTATGATCTAAAATTTGATAAACTAACACCAGCTAAACACATCTTCAATCCAGCTTTCAAACCAAATTGGTAACTTTTAAAAGAATTTTTAAAGCAAACTATAATGAAATATTAGTATTTCATTCTTTTCTTTTTTAGAAAGAGATTTTTGTTATAGTGCTTGTGCACTTACTGGAGAGACAATGAAACAGAAAGACAGAAAGCAAAAAATCATCACCCCTTCTCCTCTATTCTCCTCTCAGGGCTTTTGGCACATACACACACATGCCTGGCGTCAGTTTCAAGTCACCAAGTCCAGGACTTGAACCACGGTCCGCCATGTGGAAGCCCAGTGACATCACCATCATGCCATTTACTGGTCCCATTATTTTTTTGTGGGTGGATTCAAATATAAAGCCTTAGAAACACTTCAAGCATAATCAACTATTGAAATATGAGAACGGAGTCTTTGCAAACACATTTTTACCAGGGGAATTCTCAGCATGTTCTTTAAGTAGTTTTATTTATAGAAAGGTTAAGGGAAATAATTATATCATAAATATATAATAGTTTTCTTCATGAATTGTGTATATGTCCTTGTTTTATGTGTTTTACAACTGAAGGTTTAAAAAATGCTGTTGTAACAAAATATTGATGTCTTTTATATTGATTTTTTCTGCATTTGGGTAATTTCCTTGGGTCATTTTACAATGAGATGGATTCCTAAACTCACCCTTCTGATATACAAAAAAATTTATGTCTGGCAATTTAGATAAGTATTTTCTTAATATTTATGTTGAAATATTAAGCGAGATTTGCATACGAGATAATGAGAAAATAAAACCCAATATAACAAGTGAACATCTATGCACATATTAGTGCATTGGCTAATTTATAACGGTTGATGTTAAGTATGGTCACAGTACTTGACTACCCAGAGTATCATATAACAATTGCCAGGAATCAAGTAAAGAATGGGATGTTTAAATTCATTAACATGAAATATTTCGAGCAGGTCATGGTTCCAATTAATCACTGCATAACTGTGCATAATTTTGTACCCTGATATGCTCAAAGAATGGAATAGAAAAGCAGCTTAGTTCCCAATAAGTCTTTTCAAAGTCAGCAATAGAAAAGTCAAAATTAGAGGTTTTACTTGTCAACAGATCCATGGTATAAGGAATCCTACATTAAGTTTGGCCTTGAAATTTCTGTCTTGCTTATCACAAAAAGAAATCTTTTTAAAAAGAGACAACAATGAAGCAATAAAAAAAAAAAAAACAGTGCTAACGGAATCTGACAGTTGTAAAACAATAAAATATTCAGAGCAATGAAGGAGGTTGCCTGCTATCAGTAAAGGATGGAAGAGGAAAAATCAATATTTATTTCTTTGAGAGTACTAACCCCTACTTGTGGTATTGATATTTTCAACAGGATGGAAAAGCTTTCCAAAGAAAGACTTCTCATTTAAAATTTTTTTCACTTTAAAGATATTCTATGCATTAGGTTGGATATTACATCTATTATATCATGACAATCAATATTTTAAAGACAGATCATGTTTGCTTACTGTGAAATGTCTTGATTCTAAACATTATGTTAATTGGTTATATTATATTAGTAAAGATATTTACTTCTACACACTGATAGGCTTAAATAAAATACTTTTTCTTTTGTGAGGTGAACAAAAACGCTTTATATTCTTAGCTCTCAGCTCAAGATGCTTGCTGATCACAGCGCTTACTTCTGGCACCCCCAACAAATTTCTGTTTTCTTCTTTGGCCTGCCACCCTTGGGGGCATAGCTATGGATTAGAAAGACACTGCTGTGGGTGACTTTTGGCTGTTATTTAACTTTGATGCAGTTGAGATCGCTTTAACTAATGTTAGCTAGCTGACCTTTGGCTTCAAGTGGAAGGAATTCATTTGAAAATGAAATGCTTCTTGGAACATTCCCTAGTGTTAGAACCTGAGTCTAAAAATGAATCCTTGTTTGCTCTCCATTGACCTCTGTTTTCAGTGTACTCTGTGACCTAACAGCATTTAAATAGGTAGCATTTCCTCTAAAAATGAGCTAGGGTTAACATGAGCAGATGAAGAAGATTTATTTCTTCATTATTTTTTTTTAAATGCTCTGCAGTTGACATAAATATAAATGTGCACTTTTGCTTATACACCTAAAAAATAAGTAAAATTAGCCTTTTGTAACAAAGTAGAGGTACTTTTTGTCCTTTTTGAAAACAATGAGTAGATTTTTGGGATTAGGAGTTGGCTAAGACTAGTAAGATATTTGTGCAATAAAATAGATAGAAAACTATATATTAATGGACATATAGGGATGGAAGGAAAGTGATATAGGTGATATTTGAGTACTTAAGATAAATACAATATCTAAACTCTTACTAATAAATATCTTACAACTTATAGATTACTGATATAATTTAAACTGCTGCAACTATGGTGCAGAAATAAAGGTTTTTCATGATAAAATTGTCCATTTGAGAGGATAAATTACTTATAAAACATTACTAATAATTTACGGTGCTATAACAAGTTTAATATCAGTCATTCTCCATTTCCTATACTGTTTCTTATACATTCTGCTTTTGTTTTATTTTACTCAATCAGTCACTAAGGCTCCCTCATAAATATTTTTAAGTACATCATCCTTCATTAAAATCAAACCGATGAACTCTTTGGCCACTCTAATTGGTTGCTTACTCATAAAAGTTCATCCTGGGTCTTCTGGAATGATCCTGGTTTTGATTCTGTGATTACACACGCATCTGATAGGCCTGATCCTTCTGGTGAATCCTTGTACACTCTCTGCTGTCTAGGCATAGTAAAATTCCCCATCGCAAAGACTGCTGACGTTTAAAGCTCTAACACACTGTCCCTGTATTGTTTTGGATATATTCAAGAGACTAGAGCATCCTGAGTCAGGTGTAAGTTAATCAGAATCCCAGTGTGGCATGCACCAATCAAAGATGGAATCATTAACTGGATATAATAAAATCTATAAATATGAACTGGGATGAAAATGTGCTGTTTGTTACTGAGAAGACAGCTCTAGACTGCTCTCATAGGTAGATGGGGTTAGAGCAAATTATTTCTATCTGAATGGACAATGCCATTCTAATTGTCACAGCAGTATAGAAACGCTCTATACAAAGCAGACTAAATTCCGACACCGTGTTTTAAAATCATGAGCAAAATTCATGTTTAAATTTGGCGTGCCTTCAATATACAGGTTCTCAAAATATCACTGCATTAAAACAAAACAGTGTTTATTTGTTATTTTTAAAAATGTCCTGTTGTAGAAAATAATTCACAGAAAATAATTTTAAAAAATCCATGAATGAATTGCTAAGGGACTAACTTTAAAATATATAGATGATTTAACAATATGAAGGTTCTTCAATGACCTACACATAGAACTACCACATAATCAACCAATTCCACTCCAGGGTATCTGCCCAAAGGATAGGAGAATGCTCAGTAGGAAAAGGGCTTGCACATCTATGTTTATTGCAGCATTATCCATGATTGCTAACACATGGAACCAACCCAAATGTCCACAAACAGATGAACGGATTGAAAAAGTGTGGCATGTATACTCCGTGGAATACAATTAAGCCATAAAAACAGCAAGACCCTGGCATTTAATAGAAAGTGGATGAATGTCAAAGATTTATTGCTGAGTGAAGCAAATCAGGCTATGAAAGAAAGACATTGTATGTCGCTGCTTTACATATATTGACTGTCCACACTCTATGGTAGAGACTGAAAGATTGGAGAAAATAAAAGAATTTAAAATAGTTGGGGACACTGAATACTGTGTGGAAGGAGGGCGTGATAAGGGAAGAGTGTCGGGAAGAAAATTAGGAAAGAAAAAATAGAGAGGTAAGACATTGGTGGGGCATAGAAAGGGTTTATTACCTGTAGATGATAATGTGTATAGTATTCTCAACTGGACTGGTCAGAGGTGTATTTCATGTTAGGTAAATTCTCTTTACAAGCTAAATGATGTATATGTGATTAAATGTAAATAATAATAATAAAATTAAATAATTAACTCCTAAGAAAAATAGAAAGAAATAGAATATTAAGTGCTAAGTTTAATAAACCAGAGTAAGAAAGACAAACACTATATATTCTTGCATAAAATATGCCAAGTGTCTGTACTCTAGAGTAGAAATTTTAATATACAAGGATATAATATTAGAGAGGAAAACTGTATATTCCAGAAACTGAATGGGAAAGGGCCGGATAGTAGAGCGTGGGTGAGAGGAGTCCAGGGAAAAACCTTTATCAGATACAAGATTGCGATTTTTTTCTGTTGAATTTGATTCTTATAGTGATATCTTTGATTTGATTATCATGTACTATATATGCATACCTTATAAACAGATTTTGTGCTATAGAGATGTACAATGATTGAATATAAATAAATAATCATAAAAACATATATATTTACATACACACTCATGTACTATCTATAGAAACATAAAAAAGGTACAAGACCTTTTATTTTGTAGTTGGTTTATAAAATATATGTAAGCCTATTACATTTACATTGAAAAACCTTTAAAATTTGCCTCAGTTAATATAAGTATGCAATTTGACATTTTAAAGTTAGATATTACTGGTTTTAAACAAGAAAACGTCTTTGTTATAGAAAGTATTATATGATAACAATATTTATAGCGAAACATTCTACCCACAACCCATATCCTTCATAATTTCTCTGATTACCTGTAGGACCTACTATCATCCTTCATTGACTGTGAAGCTGTGCAAGAAAGATTATAGCTTTACCTCTTATTTTTTCTTTCTCTGAATTGTCAGAGGGTGCATGTGTTCACCAAAGAGAGATGAAGTGACAGAGAGAGAAAGAGAGACAGAGAGAGAGAAAGCACCTCCCACTGAGGCACAGTCACACAACAATCACTTTTTCATTTCTTCATACTGTCAGATTTTGAGGTATGCATGCACACTTGTCTAGCATGATTTTCAAACTACTGTGGTCAAGACTCAAACAACACTGTCAGTCATGCAGGTCCTGGCCTCCTTAACCACTAGACTACAGGGCAAGACCAGCATTGGCTCTAATGTTCTCCTTTTTCTGCCCTATCTTAAACCTACTTTCAGCACAGCACTTATGGTGATCTTATTAAAATGTCCATCTGACCATGTCAATTCTTTGTTTAAAAGCCTCCAAAACCTTCTTGTCCTGATTGGAATTAAATCAGTTTGAAAATAATAATAATAGCCAAGGTGTCTGGTTCCATGCTACCTCTTTGACCCTATACACTGTATTTCCCCCTAACTTAATCTACAGTCACATTGCCCTTTTTGTTCCTTACAAAATTGTTACTACATGAAGGCATTTGCTTTTGATAATTCTCTCTAGAAAACTCCCAAAATAGCCATTTAGCTTACTTTCTCACCTAATTCAAGTCTTTATTTAAATGACTACTTTTTAACGAGGCACTTACTGACCCCCATAGTTAAAATGGTATGAATTCTATCCTGGTAAGGACTATCTCACTGTACAGCCTTTGTTGTTGTTTTCTGTAGTACTTATTACCCTCTAACAAGCTAATATATGTTAATTGCCTGTCTTACCCTGTCTAGCTCAATGAGGAAAGAAATTTTATTTATTTTTTGCTAGCTTAGTTTTTTTTCTTTTTTTTTTAGATAGAGCTTATTGTGTCAAAATGCTCCCACCTTAAACAATCTGCAGGAACTGCAGGTAAAACCCATCATGCCTCACTCTTTCTCAGACAGGGTTTTGCTTTGCTGTCCAGACCTACCTCAAGTTCATGATCTTCTGGCCTCAGTCTTCTAAGTTGCTGGAACAACAGATACATGCCAGTTTACCCAGACTTAACATTGGACAAAAAATTAAACTTGGGCCTTTCATGTGGTCCCAGTGTAAAAGTGTCTCAACAGCACACTACCATGGGGAATCCAGGGCAGAGATATTTTTAACAGCTCTTAATATAACTAGTTCAATTTGCTGTAATGTGTAAACAATTTTTTTTCAGCTATTCTAATCTGTGTCTAATTTTAGAACTTCATAGGTTTATTCAGTTCCTGTTGATTTTCCCAAGCCTCCTAGTCTTATAGCTATTTCACTTTTATACTAAAATCTATGTTCATATTTTATTTTAGCTTATTAGACCATATCATCTGAATATGCTTCTAAGTGATATTATTTAAGTTTATCTAATAATTGAAATGTAAGTTTATCATGATTGAATTTTTCACACGTTATCATTTTCTTAGTTTGTTAACCTCCCAATCACAAACATTTGACCATTTTTTATAATGTAATCAGTGTATACTTGACTTTTCAAAGGGTGCATGTAGAATTATCTTGGCATATAATTTGCAAAAGTCAAGTACGCCTTGAATTTCATTTGAGTTAATTGCTTGGATTAAATTAAAACTAGCTATACTTATAAAGTCATAATGTGTTTAACAATATATTATGAAAATGTTCTCTTATTTTTCATGTGTAGAAATTTATAAGGTTGTAATGAAGACCTATGTTTGGGATAAGATATATGTGACTAGAAATAGAAGTTGCTGTATTTGTGTCTATAATGTCAACCATTTTTTTTAGTTACACATTATGGTATTTATACATGCTTATAATTAAGTGTATTTTAAAGTAAGCATGGTGTTGGGACCAGCAATTAGAGTAATGGCTATGTCTCTGGACTCCCACGTAGTCGACTGCGGTTCCTATCCTGGACCCGGTGGATTAAAACTCACGCCGGGCATGTGTGCACATGTGCCCAGGACCCCAAGAGGAGAATGGAGGAGAAGGGATTGTGGCGTGGCCATCCCCCCGGGGGGGTGATTTCTCACTTTCTGTCTCTCTGTCTTTCTGTCTCTCTGTCTCTCTCTGTGTCTCTGGCGAGTGCTCGCGTCCTATGGCAAAAACCGCTCCAAAAAAAAATGTTAAAAAAAAATAAGCATGGTGTTTATTGAATAAGCAAATTTTAATCGGATTAAATATCTTCAGAATGAATGCTGAATTCTGCATTAAATACAATTCTTTTCAGGCACTGATCTTTTTTGTTCCCTAGTCTTATTGCCTTAAAAGTTTTCAAGCACAAACACTGAACATTCTAAAGTAGTTATGGTCAGAGTCACTAATGCCTGTTATACTTGTGTGCCTTTACACGTGGTCTTCCTGCTGCCTAAAATGCTCTTGTGATAGAGTTCCCTTTCTCGCCACCTCCTTCCCACCACCTCAGTATTTATAAGTGTGAAAAATATTGAATTTTTCTAGATTATTTCTCCAAATGGATGAAATCCTATATTGTTTTATACTACATGATATAGACACACACAATGACTTTGAGTAAATTAAAATATAAATAAGACAGGTTATGAAAGTCAAATACTATTATGTCTCCACTTAGCGAACACTGAGTATCCTCACTCATTAGGAGAAAAAAAGACTTGGTAGCAAATGAGTACCGAGGAATGTTAGATACTAGAAGCTCCATGGGGGTGGAGAAGTTTATCTGGAGAAATTGGTTAAAAATACAAGAATGTATATGAACAAGCGAAATAGCTCATGAAATAGTGTACTGCAGTAGAGTAGAAAACACTGCTGACAAATTAATATGTGCTTCACAAAAATAAAAGCTATTAGAAAGTTTCTCTCTCTCTTTCACGTACACACACATGCGCTGTAGCAAATTAAATAATAATAATAGTGATACAAATACAATTAAAAATAGAATGTTATAAAACATACTGTACCTTATAAAGATGTATAATAATTATATGTAACTCAGAAATTGCAAATGAAGCAATAAACATATAAAAATATAAAAATCTCTATCAGTCATATACTTACTAGAATATTTGTATAAAGATTATGCCCATGTCTTTAACATACTTGAAAACTACTGAGTTTCTGAAACCTTATAGATGAAGTTTGATTGAATTACAGGGTACAAGTGTAATTAAGAAAAGCAGATTTATGAGTGATAGAAAGCGGGGATAGAGAAGTAGCCAAGCCAGGTTGTGAATTACCTTATATGAAAATCAGTGCAGTTATTTTAATCTTTTGAGTAGACGGTAGAACATCTCCCGTTGAAGATCTCCATGCTGTAGACTGAACTATTGTATTTAAAAGAGATACTATATAAACATATATTTAATATTTTACTGCAAAGAATAAAATATACTAATAAATAATGGATAATCTTAGTAAATTAGTGACCATTTAATGCAATGTCCCTCAGCATCTCTTTCTATGTCCTCAAACACTCTTCTATTTTTTCTTCATTGAATTGACCCCTCCTTCACTCATTCCACTTGGCTGAAGCAGGTTGACCCCACTCTTAGCCCTGCACATAAGATTTTTTTTTTTTTTTTTTGCACATAAGATCTTGACTCAGGCCTGGAAATGAGAGCATCTCAACACACTGTATAAAGTGACTAGATATTTGATAGTTCTGTGGGAATAAGTCTTGGATTTTTTATTTAGAACCATTAAGAAAGTGAGACTCTATTTTTCTGTGTGACTGGGTGACTTGGAGCATTTAGCAATAGTTTTAAGATCCCCTGGGACTCTGCCTGAGAAGGAAGTAAAGAAGATGATAATAAGAGAGATATGAATAGCCAGGCCATGGTGATATGATTAAATCCCCGGATGATTTTAGCTTAGAGTCATATACCGCCCAAAGATTCGTAAGTAATACAAAGTATCTTCATCAAGGCAATGATGAATTACAAAAACGTTTATAGAAGAATTCCGTGTTAAAACATTTTATCAGATATTTGACTCTTTTAACTTTTATTTATTTATTTTTGTGTGTGAGTTTTTTGCTATGGTGTGTGTTTTCTCGCCAGAAAGACAGAGAGACAGAGAGACAAAAAGCGAGAAATCATCCCCTGGAGGGGATGGTCATGTCTCAATCCTGTCTTGTCTATTCTCCTCCCGGGATCTTGGGCATGCAAGCACACATGCCTGGAGTGAGGTTAAGTCACAGGATCTGGTACTCAAACTGCAGTGGACTACATGGGAGTCCACGATGTAGCCATTACACCACCTGCTGGTCCCTCTTTCAACATTTTCTAAAATAACACTAATTTAGACTAATGTGGTTGTTAATTTCTGTACAACACCAACACAACACAGTAGACTGGGATACTTTTTCCAAGGTTGACCACACAACTAAAGTTTCTAAAAATTATACACACACACACACACACACACACACACATGCATACATTTTTATAATTACCAATAATAGCAATACGTTATTCATCAAAAGCAGCAATAGGTTTTTCAGGTTCTTCAGCTATCTGAATAAAGTATAGCAACATTCAGCACACTCTATTTAAAAAGAAAAAGAGAAAGAAACAAAAAGATAAAAACAACAACAAAAACTCAGAAAATAGAAAAGTCATGTTGCTGTTGTGTTACCTGTCACCATTATTTAGAGTAGCTTTTCAATTATCATCTTGAGAGAAAACATTCAAGAACTTCATTAAAAACAGCTCTGATAAAGCATAGTCACTACCACGTATCATAAAAAGCAAGTGCAAGATATTTTGCATTCACAGAGGTATGATAAAGTGCTGTCCTACATATATAATACTAGAGGATACAATTTAAAAAAGCATTATTTGGGACTGAATTCTAGTTTTCCAGCAGAGTCCAGGGATGGTATCACAGCCGTGTAAAGAAATGCACTTTCTTAGATAAGATTCCTTTCATTAGCAGCACAGTTCTAGGTACTCAACTGCTCTTCATGAATTTCAACTAAAAAAAAAAATTAAGTAACATAAAACAACAGCAACAAACCAATGGATTCATACAAAGATGGCCAAGTGGAGGCTAGCAAGACTCAACTTAAATACTATTTTACCAAATCTGTCATGTTTAAATGGTAAGAGCTTTATGGAACAAAGGAGATGCCAAATAGTGCCTCAAAGCTTTGGATCACAACCAAAACACAGAATCATTTCACTGGGCTCATATCTATGCATGCCCCTAAATCCTAACAGGATGGAGAAACGCAGACAAGGATATCAAGGATATCATGGCTTGTCCATGCTTCATTAGCGCATGTTTTTTCCCTCTCCCCCTCTTTTATTTATTTATTTTTTTTGGTGGGCACCCATGACCGATGGCAAGAAAAATAAAAACAGTGTGTGTTGTTAAAAATCTGTAACTATCTTAAGAAAAAGAGAATAAAAAATCAGCAGATTCCAATAATTAAAGGGAAATCGAAAAGAATAGCCAAGGACTCACAGGTAGCATGGTGTTTAGGGCACTGGACTCCCACCTGGACAACCGCAGTTCGAATCTCTAACCTTGTGGATTGCTTTCTCACTTTCCCTGTTTCTCTCTCTCTCTCTGGTGAACACACATGCCTTATAGCAAATTTTTAAAAATAGTAATAATAACAAGTAAAATGAAAGTGAATATTTCTTAAAAACAGAAGAGTCAAACTAGCAGCAAACTAAGGCTGCTATTAGATATGTAGGTAAACTGAAGAGTCAAAGATGTTCCTTTTAAAACCTACACAGTAAAGAAAGGCAGCAGGCACATACAAGGCTTAGGACACTCTTAAAGCCAGTTATGGACTAGTCTTCTGTAGGGCTGGACCCTTGCAAAAAAATCTCCAACAATCATACATTGCATATTGTTCATAAAATTTGCTGTATGTGTAGAACACTGCATGAAGAAAAACTGAAATATCAACCAAGTTATTTTAGTTTTAAAACAGGTTGTGTGGGAATGTAACTGCAAGGTGGGATATAGTAGAATGTAAAAATTTTACTACAAAGAAAATAATGGGAAAAAGTAAATTAAATTTATATTTTCTAAGTGTTTGATTTTAGAGCATGGGACACCTAGGAAATTGAATGAACAAAATTCAAAAGACAAAACTGCCATTCATATGTGAGCA